GAGAGTGGTGAGGMCCTGGAATGGGTTTACCAGGGAAGTTGTCCCAGGAATTATCCGAGGTCAGGTTGGACAGGGCTTGAAGCAACCTGGGGTGGTGGAAGATATCCCTGCCCATGTCAGAAGTGGAATGGATGTTTTTTTAAGTCCCTTACAACACAAACTCCTCCGACATTCTATGCTTCTGCCATTTGGCTGTGACTGAAAGTAAACACTGGGCACATGCTGTTGAGTCGAAAATAAATGTAGCTTCGAAGTTGGTTACATGTTTTGGAAAACTTGCTATGGCTTTGAAACTTTTAAACATGTAACTATTTTGTTTCTAGAGCAGGTGATACAAAAACACTTAGGAAACTGCTGACAGGCAGAGAAAGATCCTAGCATTTGACCACACTGCACGCTCCAAGACACTCAAGACTAGGAACGGTGGCCAAGCCTCTGCAAATTAGCAAAATAATATTTATCCTAACTACCTAGGTCATATTTATCACTCCAGACCACACTACTGTCCAAAAATGATGTCACAGTATTTGCATTACAAATATGGAACCAACCAACACAGGAATAAGAGTTATTTTTGCAGAGAGCTGTGAAAGTTTTCACTCAATGCTTCTATTAAAAGAGCACATAAGTTATGAGTTTCATTTATAAAAGAAAAGAAAATTCGGTAAAAATACAAAAAAAAATTAGAAATGTGAAAAAGGAGGTATCGAGTTATTGATGGAAAATAATTTTACTCAAGCTTTTTTCTTCCTTAGACCAACATATTAAGTGGTTTGTTAAGGTCTAAGAACTATGTCAGGGTTTTCATTTTTAATGTCCTTGAGCTSCTGAGCAGGTCAAAACCGGGACCACCTCAGACTATCCTGCGTTCCCTTGTGCTGAATGTTTTCAGTTTTACTCAAAGTGAACATTTCATGCTGACACTGTGCAGGCAAAATGATTCAATTTTGTAATGTGTCTGCTATAAACGAGTCATATTTCAGCCTGAGCAGCCTCAGTTCCTAAGGATGTTTATAGCTCATTTCTGGTCCTGCACAGCCCGTCAGTTCCCAGCTTGTTAATTATTATAAAATAGTATCTCTACTATAAAGATTTGGCTGCAGTTTTGGTTCTTTATAAACTCTTAGTCAGTGTCTTTAGCCAAATGACTCATTTATTTTCAACTCTATAATATTTCCAAGTCCCAGACTGGTAAATTGCCATTATAGATTTGTAAGCTGRGGGGAACAGGGTGTTGGTTATTTTTAAGAACAGGGAGTGTTGTGGGGAGGATTTAATAGGACAAAATGTGATTTGTGTTTATGTTTGTGTTTAAAACCTGGATTACTAGGGCTTGGTTGTTTGTTTTTTGGTTGGTTGGGTTTTGGGGTTTTTTTTTTCAAGCTCTATCAGTAGGAAATGATACAAGAGGAAAAAAATCTGCATTTGTAAATTTGATCATGGAGTGAGTAGATATTAAAAAGGTGAATATTTTATCCTAGGAAATATGTGGAGAGATTTCCAGGAGTGCAGAGTCAGGTGAAGGACCTGTTGCAGGGCTCTGGAGAGGCTGCAGGTCACAAGTTCTGTCTCTGATCTTTCAGGTGAGTGATCCAAAGGTGAGATCACACAAAGCAGAGCCACAATCAGTACAGAGTTACAATTTATAGGTTGGGAAAAACAGGCTTGTTTGATTTGTGCCCTGGAAATAAAAGCAGTGATGACACAAACGATTCTCTGAAGGTAAATGTGAGGGGAAGTAGAGATTTAAATCAGAGAACAAAGCTGGCAGAAAAAAATGGATAATCCTGGGATGGATAACAGAGGTTTCTGATGGCTGCACAACAATCCCAGGTGTTCCTTAAAGTTTGTAGGAGCAGGAAAGCTGCCTAATTATTAAATGGTTCCAGAAGGGGGTTACAGATATTGGAAAGAAGAKAATTGCTTGATTATCCCGTATCTGTAAAAAATATATGTATATATTTTTTATTTTTAGAATCTTTTCCCAAGCAATGGAAAAGCAAGAGCTTAAGAAGCAGCCGTTGGCACCACACAGGAAGTGAGTAGGAGAATCATGTTTCCATGTTGTTATCCCTCTCCTGATCTATGGTAATTTGCCCTTGCTGCCTTTGGGTTTACATCCAAGTGATGAGCTCAGATCCCAATTTCGTTTCTCACTTCATTAACTGGTTTTGGGTCTGCAGGGACCTCTAAATGTCACCTGGTGCTCCCCCCTGCCTCAGCAGGGACATTCTGCACCATGTCAGGTGGCTCAAAGCCCTGTTCAGGCCCCGTGTGGAATGACCCTCTTTTAGGGAGTCCGTACTAGACATACTCAGATCATTATTTAACCATTCCCTAAGGACTTTGAAATTCTTATTTGTTTTATTTTATTAAAGARCTTTGCACTTTGATTTTCTGCTAAATAGCAACACCATCTTTTAAAGAAAACCATCTCACTTAACCGAAGTTCTATTTACTATTATCTCAGCCATTTAACTTTTACCTACAGTTCGACATGTGCCCATTATGGGGACAAAAGTGACTGGGGGCTTCCCCAATCCCCCAAAACAGGCGCTGTGCCCTCAGCCCACCCTGCCCAGCCGCTGTCCCTCCCGAGGGGCGGGAGTCCTCTGCGAGCGGCACCCGCAGCAGCTCCAAGGCARGCGAGCCCGGGACCCGGGACAGGGACCGGGTCGGCTCCTCTCCCCGCCACCCGGCGCCGCTCTCCGCCCGCCGAGCGCCGGGCCGGATGTCACGGTGACGGGCGGGAGGCGAGGCCGGGTGCGCTCCGCTGGCAGTCCCGAGCCCGGGCGGGCAGGTGGAGCCGGGACGCGCGAACGGAGCATGGAAGGTGAGAAACGACCCCGTTCTTCCCCCGGACCCTCTGCCCCACCGGGGCCCGCAGCGGCTTCACCGACCGGGGGCTTCCAGCCGCTTCTTCAGCGCTTGCTGCAAACAGATCGCAGGCTCTGGAGCAGAAATCGAATCGCGTGTAGTAATTAAACGGGAAACGAACGGAGCTTTTTGCCCCTTCTCTGTTGAATTTCAGAGACATCACAAAGCCCGTGATAAAGCCGGCGTTTAGAATGCGCTTTATCTGCAGTTCTTATTCTGGGCTTTAACGAATTCAAGAGTGTCTTCATTCTTTTCACCTGTAAAACGTGCCCATAATATTCAGAGCCAGCGAAAACCAAGCTGGGAGTTAATCTTGGGCTGTGGAATAATTCCTTGGTGAAGAAAAGCAACATTTCTGCTATTTTTTAAAATTCTGGSAAAGAAGGCTTTGCAAAGCATCGCTTGGCTTCTTATTTCAAAGGTGGAGRTTCTCTCTTCAACTCAATGTTTTAAGGGCTCCAGTTTAGTTTCTGCTCTGTCTCAATGACTTGAGGCTTTTGGTTATTTTAAGTTAGCTGGAGATGCCTATTTAACAATGCATCTTCCTTTGCTAAAGGCTTTTTAACTGTTTATATGTAAATAATCACTCATTGAATTTGGCTGAATTGAGAATGTTGCTGTTCGAGAGAAGTAACTAATGATTTGAAAGAATGGGTTTGAGGGCACTTTGGCACTTAAAAATGTAGCCTCGTTTTCTTGATCTAGTTGGGATCAYTTTTTGGGAGAGGGAAGATTGCGAGGTGTGTTGGAACAGCCTGCAATTAGAAAATAACAAGGTTTTGCTGCAACTGAGGTTATCTAAGAAGTCCCTTTTTTGGTGTTCTTATTTCTTTTGTGCTCAAAGCAAACATGGGTACATTAAGTCCTTCAGTTTTCGTTCTTTACTTGAGGATGATGAGGATCCATTAAYGTGCCTGAGATTGCTGCACTGGGGATGAATTTAGTGCAACAGTGTTGTAAMGTGTTATCCCTGGATACAGTAACTTTCAGGAGCATTTCCTCAGGAGCATGAGGGTTGGGAAAATCTCCGTGCCCTGAGGATAGAGAAGTAATGCAGCTGACCTGGATTTTCCATGCCCAGTGTGAGGAGGTCACAGAGCAGCAGACAGGCCCTGGCAAGAGTGGGTGTTTGTCTAAAATTTGTCATTAAATCGGTTGTGTCTCTCCATGACTGGCTTGGTTTTGCGACTTTTGAAAGAATCGCTCCAGGTTCTGGGCTGGGATCAACAGGTTGGATCAGGAGTTGGACTTTGATGACCCTAGTGGGTCTCTTCCAACKCAGGATATTCTATGATTCAGGATATCCTATACTGAATCACTAATCTAGTCTTCTGGGTTTTGAAGGCTGCGTGCAACTATACGAGAAAAATTTCCTTAGTTATACACTGTGATCAGGACTTCTTCCCATAATGACATGTGCACTTAAAATGCCTGTATTGTTTCACACATTGCATGGTGTTTAAGAGCAGCAAAATATTAGAGACCCCATAAAGAGTTTATTCAGCCCAGGGGCTTTTTTCATAAAGCCATGGATTCTGTGGATGCTGCAGAAGCATATTCAGTGGTGAAATCAGCTAGAATTTCTCTCCTTAATGGCTCTGGGTGGGTTGAAGGTGAAAAACTTGTTGGGTTCAAAAAGGTTGAATGGTGTTCGTWGTGAAGGTACTGGCTTAGATGAAGAAACCAGCCATGTTTGCTCCACGTGCTGTGATGGAAGAATGWAGAGGAAAGGGGATTTTAAAATATGTCCCCTTCTCTGTGCTGTTGGACTGAAAAGTGCAGCTGGCAGGAAAAAGGCAGCATTCTGGTTTCACTTTGGAGACAAACAGGTGAAATTACAATAATTCAAGATATAGTTCCCATTCTGTATTAAGGACAGAAAGGTATTTTGGTCATCAGTGATCTGAAAAATATCCATTTTAGGAAGGTTAAATTTCAGATTGACTGTTTTGGTCAAATACCAGGATGCAGTATGAATAATGTTGCATATTAAAATACCATAGGACCTTTTTAGCACCCCCTTTGAATATTTTGGCTCCCTTTGCCTATTGGCGTAGAACACAGGATGGCCAAGAATTGGTTTCGAAAGCACACGAATTTTACTTCTGCTTTGTAAACGCACATCGTGCCTCAGCTGCAGCACACAGAGACAGGCATCCTCTTCCCATGCACCCCAGCCAGAGGAGCTCTTTGAAGATTGGAAAGACAAACGTGTTCTGTAAGTGATTTCCTGCCTCATGCTTTTTTGAACATTTGGTAGAAAAATGGTGTTATTGGCATAGAATCAGGGATGGAATCTTCCTACATGTTTTCCTGTCACCTTGAAGGATCGGGCTTAAGACACTCAGGAAAGAGACCTGAGATTAAATATTAAGAGACCACTAAGGCTGTAAGAAGCTGCTGGAGACTGATGTTGTACAGAAATAGGGTGCTGGTGAGGGGAGATTGGGGGCTTGAGAATGAGACAAAGGCCAGAACATTTCTCAAGCGAAAAGAGAAACCTTCTATGGTGTGTCGTTGTTTTAATCTCCTCTGAAGGGCTGTTCTGCCCAGCAGCCATCGTGGGCACAAACCTGTTGCGTTCAACAAAATATGAATAAATTTGCAGAGACGAAGGGGATGAGGGTCTGAGGAGGTTGAGCAGGTCCTGCTCGGCTCTTGCAGGGCTCCGGCAGTGCCATCCTCTACCAAGTTGTGCTGCAACTGCCAGGGARACCTAAGGAATCCAAAGGTTTCTAAAAATATGTCGTTATCCAGGAATAAATGCAGAATAGTTGGAATTGAAGCAATGATGTAGGGGTTCTAATTTTTTCTTCCACAACCTGGGAGCTCAGGGAAAGGCAGATTTGTTGCCGAGGTTTCAAGCCACAGTGGCACCTTGGGGCTTCAGCCTGGGGCTTTGATCCCCATCACCCAAATGGGGCAACTGTGCTGGGTTTCTGAATGCAGTTAAATACAAAATTAAGTGTTGCAGAATAAGAGAGATTCCGCTTAATTTTGTGCACAGTTACAAGGGTTTGCATAATTTAAGTGTCTGTATTCATGGAATYATGGAATGTTTTGTGTTGGAASCGACCRTAAAGCTYGTCCAGTTTCACTCACTGTCATGGGCAGGAACATCTTCCACTTGACYAGGTTGCTYCAAACCCCWTCCATCCTGRCCTTGGACACTTCCAGGRATGRGGCAACCACAGCTCCTCTGGGYTATTATTGTGGTGTAAAGTTAAAATCAATATTAGAGAAAAATKTGTTAATTTATCTAGAATTTACGCATGTTTCTTCATCATTATTCACTATATAAATTTGTCCACTTGCTTCTTTGCTCCTCAAATTTCCTGGCTTAATAGAATGAAAATGAGAAATCAAGGGCTATAATTATACAGTTCCTTGATCTGTTTTATTTATTTCAAATATAGATTCAGTAAATATCTGAACGTTTTGTCATTTAACTCTGTGACTATCTTTATGATGCAAGGCCTTTATTTYGTTGCACACAACATCCCACCCTCTATTCATGCAGTTTTTTGAGAACCTCTGCTGATACCAGGCTGCTTTGCTGAAGAGTTACCAGAGATTTATATTTTAACATTGCAGAGACCACAAAAATGTTCCATGCAGAGGAGGTAAAGACAGATAATTATGGGGTAAATGTCACCAGTGGTTAACACCTCATGCCCGCTGCCTGGGTGTTTCTGTTATGTAACTGCCAGGAAGAAATCTTCCCAGTCCTGGAACTATTATTTTTTATATTCAAAGGTGGTAAAAGATTTTATGGCATGTAAAAAATAAAGGGGCGGGGGGCGGGGAAGCTACAGGAAAGAAAAGAGGAAGGAAGCAGGTAACTGTGTCTGTGTTAAGAATTCAGCCTCCTATCAAAGAAATCTCAGGGCAGGGAGGCCTTGAGTAAAGACATAACGGGACAGCTCAGGTCTGTGCCTCCAGTTCAACTCACCAGCTGAAATTTGGGCACTGAAGTGGGAGATGGGAATTCCTGCAGCTTATGTTGGCTTCAGAACTCTGCTGAGCCCCCAGCATGCTGGGAAACCAGGCTGCATGGGTAGTCCTCTGAAAAATTTTTAAAATTCCTAGCATTTGATCCCTTTTGGAATTTCTCAGTGGGAATTAGACTTACATTCCCATGAAAACCAAGTAAATCTTGTAAAGGTAATGGGGGTTTCCCTTTGTGTTGGAAAAAGAATGTAAAAATGCCTTTGTGCTTTAGAGAAATTAATTCCCTACAGAGTTATTACGGYTGTACTGTGCTCACAGGGCACACAATGAGTAAATCAAAAGCATAAGGTACTCTGTTCTATAAGTTTTTGAAGTGAGAAAATCATACCTAATCCCTTTTCTGGGCACAGGCCAGTGCTCAGGATACAAAGACGTGAAACATAACACTAATTTGGTTTTTATTTCTTTGAAATGTTTTCTTTTTCAATTTTACTTTCAGCCAAGAACATGGGAATTTATAAAATTGTAACAACTGTGTTGTGAACTGTTCTAAATATTAAACACCTCAGGCTGCTTTTCTGTCTTTTGCAGATTCACAGCCCGGGATGGACCTCAGTAACCCCCAGGAGCAGCCCATAGCTGCAGGTACTGTGCTGTTCAGTTATGTTTTTCCACTCTCTCTATACAATTTAACACTTAAGTGGAGAAAACCACATGAATTGCAGCTGGTTTGGGGTCCCAGAACACTGAGTAGCTGAGTCAAAAGTATGAAGAGGGACATTAAAGGCAGAAAAAAGTAAAGTCTAATGTTGAAACAAAGCTATGGAAGTTCGATATAACATTGGAAAACGATAGTAAAGTGGGGAAAGAACACTGTATAGAAGGAAATGCTTTCAGAAGAAAGCTGGAAGTTTTGATTAGAGAAGCAAGAATAATGCAATTTGCTTGRTTGACTGCATTTCTGAAAATATGAAAACAAACCTCCTGAGTGAGTTTGACAAGKGTTTCACTTTCTTGTTAATAAAACGATCGAGCCTCTTTTTAGCTCCAAAGTGATATTTAGGTTGAGAATGATCGGGGCTGTTCCCATCCAACTGTCAATGGATAATGAATTTACCAGCAATTTCACAGTATTACTGTAAATTTAAAGAATTCCCAGAACTGGTTGAAAGAAAACACTGTSCATTCTTTAATGAAATATTGATCTTAAATTTACAGAAATACACATAATATGGACCTAGTTTGCTTTGTGTGGTTAACAAAACAGGCTTTGTTTGAAACCCTTCACCCAAATMAATTCCACTACAGTTAAAAAGGTGTCTTTATTTCCAGGGAGAGAGCCTGGGATCTCTGAGATGCTGATCTGCATGATAATGCTGATATTTAAAAATACACATGTGTAATAAGCAGAGAAGTACAAGTGGGTTCAAAGAGGCCTTGATTACATGTGCTTGAGCAGTTTCCTGGCCTAGGGCCAGAATGATTAATATTTTGCCCAAAAGAACAAAGTGGAGCTGCCTTTGCCTTACTCCAAGGAGCTCCATCCCTGCTCACAGCAGTTGTCAGAGCACCTATGATAGAGTTAGATATGCAGGTTTTATTCCTGTTGTCATTTAGAACAACCTCCAGAATATTTAGATCTGAGCAAAAGCTRAAAATGGGTTCAAGGTATGTGTTTGTGTAGAACTTTGGGAAGTAAAATCATTTCCCAAAGTGCAACCAGTGCATCCATAGAAATAACACTGTGGGCACTGTCAGCAGTGCTGGGAGTATGCAGGTGCTTTGAGGGAATCCCTTGAATATATTCCTGGAGAATAAATAGTCAATTATTATTTCCTTTTTTTTTTCCCCAGAAGAACAAGAGGATTTGACAGACTGTAATCTGAACAAATCCCAGGAAATGGAAAGCATGGATAATGTGGAAGATATGAAGGAACACAATCAGTCTAATGAAGAAGCAGGAGGTAAAGTAGAGTTGGAATTCTGAGATAYAATAGTTATATTTTGTCTTTTTATTCATCTGATTATGCTATGAGAGCAGGCCTGTAAARGGAACAGCAATACAATTCATTTGGAGCATTTCAACATGCTCTAAGGAGGAGCAACTCTTCCATCAGGGAACCTCACGTGCATTTTACYGAGGTCAGTTTTACAGGATCTATGAAATATGGATGGGAAGATAAAAGAGCAAGTGCATCTGGTGAGCCTTTAATGTGTGTGGAAACATAAAAATTCCAAAGAGCAGTTTGCATAGGCAAATCATGTGTTAGGACTGCAATTTTTATTAATGYTGCTAAGTACTTTCATACCTAAAAAATAACTTGGTGATTTATTCATGTTTTTGAAAGAAAGAAYGAGTTACTTCAAATTCACAAGACCACTCAGGCCTGTAAAATTTAAAACTGTAGCAGCAATGCTTTACTTTACACTGTGGGTGAACAGGAGGTTGGTCAGTTTTCCATACTTATGGTTGAATTTGAAGAATAAACCCTTCCTTACAGGTTTGAGAGAAGACACAGGGATTAATTAAAATAGTAAACCAATACGTACTGTCTTTAAACACCAGGCCCTCTTCATTTACAGATAGAAGATAACAGCAGCAGCTCCTGGAACTTGGCAATCTTACAGACCTCAGAGCTCAGGGGGTTTTTTATGTGTTTATGACATAGGTGTTGAGTTTCTTCCGTGCTGTAGAAGCTCCTAAACTGAAATCTCAGCATTAACAACAGTTCCTGCCCATGATCTGAGAGTGCTCATCCGTGCCAGGGGCCTCAGCCACAACCAGTGCAGAGTGTGCCTGGTGGAGGATGTGGGGCACGTGTCCTGGGGATGGCACACACGGTGTTACCAGTTTCACAGTGCTGCTCTGTGCCACACGTCCGTGTCAGTGCAGCAGTGCCGAGGGAAATTATAGCTGTGGCTTTGGGTAGGAGTTTGAGGTAGAGTTTTTATCACATGAATCAAGTAAATCACTAAAGAATTATGTGTTTTGACTACRCAAGTAGCTTTGGTTGTTCCCTCTAACATTCATGTGATTATTTTGCGGAGGTTATACCTTTGCGTTATTAAAACCCAAACATTTTTATTGGTTAACAAATTGCAAGCCTACACAAAACACTCTAGATGAATCTCACTCAAGGATCTACAGTGGCAGTATCTGGAATTGTGCTGGTGTCTGGCCTTTCTGGACAGTTTATAGACAGATATCACRCAGGTTTTCTGACCAAATTTGGGTGTCTGGCTCAGGATGAAAATCTTCGTGTCCTGCCTAGCAGGACTCTGTGTCAGTGGAGAGTAGCTCAGTATAGATGTCTGCAATCTAGAGCCTTGTCTTGGGCAGGTGAGTTCTGTTGTGCTTACCCTAAATACAGAAGTTTAATGGAATACACAGAATATGGAAGGCTTGAGCCCTTTCTACATCCAAGGCATCTGATTTCTCAGATCCCACAGCACATRAAATATTCACAGCCATGCTCCAGCTGTTTGTCCATCCCTTGCACCAATTCCACTCTCACTATCTCACTTCTCCCTGTGCTTTCCCAGTGTCCTGGCCCTTCACTCCTCCTGCTTGCTGAGCTGCTGGTGCAGGAAGCCAGGACAGGGTTTCACTCCCAAACCCCTCTGTGCTGACCATCTGAGAGGTAGATTCTTCCCACTTTCCCAGTCCGGGAGCCATGTTCATACCACTTGTATGCAGTGTCCAGGCATGAGGCAAGTCCTTTTCCAGTTCTCTGGCTGCCCTGTGCCTGCAGTACCATCTCTCATTTTCTTTTCCATACATTTAAGTCAGAAACAACTTGGGCAYGTGAGAGATTGTATCGGTACTGCTCTTACCATTCATTTTTTATATTGCTGCTGATCTCTGAAAGTCTCTTTACCATKTGTTCTGGAATGCAAACACTGAAAATTTACATCTCAAAGACAATGCCATAAATATCAATAAAACATCATTCCCCTCCAGCAGCCTCCCTTACCATTAGAGCTCATTTATTATAAAATGAGTACGAACCTTCAGCACCATAGTGCCCTATTCCTTGCTGCTCACTGTAGGAATAAAGCCATGATTGCAAGGAGAAAGCTGGTTCAAACGCACAAAAAAGATACCTCCAGCATCTCAGTGTAAAATGGCACAAAATAAAATATACATTGTGTTTGCTTCAGTGTTTCACACACGGTTCTCTACAGTCATTCTGATACCGGAAGCACAATAAATCTTAAATATTTAAGCATGCTGTGCTAGTACCCCAGGCCGTGCAATGATCAGTTGGTGCACTTAAATTTCCTCCCAACAACACCAATTCAGTTGCTGTTGSAGACTGAAATTCACAAATAATCTCAGCTTTCATGTCATGCCCTCTATAAAATAGCAGCAGTTCTGTTAGTCCCTGAGCAGTCTTCGTGGGTCAGTAACTACTGTCTGACTTCTATAAATGAAACCACATTCTGACAGTGCTGTCCTGGTGGGAGGATTATCTTTTGGGGATCACTAACCCTGGTAAAAATGAATATATAATATTCTCCAGGATCACAGAATAGAAATATCATCAGTACTAGTGATGGCTTTTGGGAAAAGGATTATGTCCTGCCTGCATCTGAAGAACCTATTGGTTAAAAGAAAAGGTCAATTTCTCTATTTGGCACATTGATATGATCACTAATCTCCTCACTTTATATCAAATTTRAAGAGAAAGAATGAAAAATGTATATGTGATTCTCATAAATGTTAATCACTTTTGTGAGTGAGCAATTCCACTCCAGCACCTTCCCAATTCATCGCTGGTGACAGCCTGCGACACAGAAACCTCTCCTTTCTCTCTCCTGAACCCCYGCATGATCCGTGCCCCCGGGGTTTGTTCCATCTGCTGAAGGCCATCATGGGAACATGAAGCCACTGACTCATGGAGAGAGATCAAGCCTTCGATAACCTGCTTTCCACTGCCTTAGTATGTCTGTAACATGTTTTTCTCCAGCACAATTATGTCTGCTTTTTCCATGTCTTGTCAGCCATCCGTAGTGAGTAAGAATCTTCCAGTTTCTTGGACTACATGTTTTTGTGACTCTTGCATTATTCATGGTGACACTGTGAGTATATTGTGGAGATTTATTCTGAGGCTTTGARCAGAAGCTGGAGCCTTAAGTCTAGATGTTGTCTAACTTGGTTTGGTGGAGCCTTTTGTGCTAAAAGTGCTRCTGAGATCCATTTAAAAGCTTACAGACAGTTCATAAAAGCACTAAATTAATGTATAGGGCTGAAACACCATCACCGGGGCTCATCTGCTATTAAAAAAAATCCACTTTTTCAGCAAACAGTTCCATATTTGTACTTCTCTGAGCCTGTGCAAACACACCAGCTTATGGTGTTTTTTTATGTGTGTCCTGACACAGGTGAGATGCCATTCCATGGAAACAACTCAACTTGTCCTATTCCACCCCCCTCTGTTAAAAGGGTTTCCATGATGATCATCGCTAAGTATCGGGCAAACAATTAGGCAGCAGGCTATAGTAAAATGGTAATTAAAAGCTTGATGGGGAAGAAGGAAAAAAAAAAGAAACAAAACCCCCTTTTCTTGCCTCAAGGGACTGGAAGCTGCACGCTGTGGTGCACATGGTGTACGCTCGCCTGCAACCATAAAAATACACCGTTCCCATGGTGCTTCCTGTGTCTAGTCTGAAAAGAGACAAGCAATAAGACGAGGGGGGGGAAAGCACTTGATTTCCCCTGCTTCTTTATGTGCCCCCAACACTGTTACCTTTGGTGGCCAAAGTTGACACATCTTTAATTTAAAAATTAAATTAAAAAAAAGCCACGTTCTTTCCTCTGGGATTAGCAGTCAAGCACGAATGTTTAATTATGTCTTAATTCCCTCAGCTGTTGAGGCAGACAACTTTTGGGGTGTTATGAATGTCAGCGAGCTTTCATGGTTGCGAGCTAAAAAGAGATAAAAGCCACATTTGTGGTTTATGGATGTTAATTGCTGCTGCACTGAGGTGTATGAGGGGGGCGGTTGAAAGGCTGGAGTGAGRCAGGAGAGGTGACAGAGCCTCGCTGGGGCGTGCAACGAGGTTCCAGCGGTGCTGCAAGAACACGCACTTATCTGCCTGGAAAGGAAGTGCCGTTTTTTATCACAGTATTACATCTCCCAAGCCCAGCTCGAGCCCCGGCGCTCATGGGACTCGGGGTTATCGCACAACATCAGCAGAAGTTCACTGCAAGGGGATTTCTGTAGTGCTAAACCCGGCAGGGAGTCTGTGCTGAACGGGTCAGACTTCTCTGGGGGCTCTACTGAGACTGAAAGCCGCGTTTTCCTTATCAACAAACGATCCTCTTGACTTTGTTTGAGCGCTTCAGACTGTGCCGTCAGCGGCAGGAATGCTGCCAGGCACGTTCGGTGACATCAACGGGGCGGTGGTGTCACCCAGCCTGTAAATGATTGACATCAGCTGGACTATCCTGAGCACTCAGCACTGACATAGACAYTCAGATACTCTGACTGCCTGGAGATAATCAGAAAGTGCAGCTATTTCTCATTCTAATTAACCCATTATAGTGATTAGAAAATAGAATTTACTTTTGAGATATCCTGACTCCCAGTGGAAGCTCTCAGACAGAGCAAGGGCTGAAACGAGGATGGATACACAGAATTATTTAATAGATGATGGGCTTCATTCCATAACTTTTAAAATTCCATTTTCCTTCACTTGTTCTAAAATGTGTATCTTAGATCCATACAAAATAATTCCCTAAAATTACAGGTGAGATAAATGTTTATTCCTTCAGCATCGAAATTTAATCTAGTCCAAGGCAGATGAGTTGTGATCCYTCCCCATTCCCCCATCAGAAAATATATGAAGATGCAGAAACCTGGGAACTAAAATCACATGTTGTTGAAGRGAAGTAATCCATTTTTGGAAATACAGATTAGTGGAGAGGAAATAAATCGATGGGGATGAGTGACATTTTGCC